TTTAAAAAACAAGTTTACATCCTATTCTTATGCATGGCAGTGCTGTGTGTGAGGTCATTTAAGGTGGTTCTGACAAGTGTCATCGGCATCTTCATATCCGTTCACATCGGCGGCAAGCCACTCCCATCCAGTCACATGGGTGGAAAGCCACTCCCACAAAGGAGGCTACACCCACAGAGTAGGTTCGAACAATTTTTGAAACCCACCACTGCATTAAACTGACTCCTGTTATGCCTACTCATCCTAATATTAGAACTATTTGATTTATACCCAATCTTTCCTTGCAACTGTTGGAAGAAATATCCATCTGGATACAGTTCAAAGTGGGGAAAAAGGCACAGGAAACATGGAGACTGCTTGGAAAGATGGTTTAATGATGGACAGAATCACATGACTTGAGCTCCTGAACAGAAAAGGGCAGAGATGCTGAGAGTCCCTGGGTTTTATGCCCTCTCTTGGGCCCTACCTTAAAAGCTTCCTGTTCCTGTTCAAGAAATGTATCCCATTGGCTGTCAGACTCCCAGGAGGCGGGGGTCTTAGCTAACTCTGTAGGCTGTCCTGAGACCCAAGCTTGTTTGACCCTTGCTGATGTAATCTTCTCAGGTGCCATGTGGTGAGTTTCTGTTTGCTAGAAGGGTCCTCCTGAAAGAGGTACGTAGATCTTTGTTATGTAGAATGGCTCAGACCTTAATGGCCCATTGACAAAGGTGGGGGCTAAGTTTCTGCTTTTCTGAGATTCTACTTTTCTTTTAGGGGAAATATTGTGCCTTTTTAGTATATCCTAAAATATTTCATTTTTCTAGGAGAAGGTTGGGTTTTAACTGCCAACACAACCAAGATCAAAACAGCTAAACAAATGTAGATATTAAATTAAAATCTAATTTATATGCCTCCTGTCCTGTCCAATTGAGCTAACTGTTCTTCGCATTTAGAAAGGCCTCAAAATACTTTGAAAAAAGATTTATTAATTTATTTATTGCTATATTAATTTTAGCTTTATACTCGGTTGTAACCATTGGAAAACTTTGGAACACAATTAACAATCACATATACACAGATCACATAAATACAAGTTGTCAACTCTAGTTTGTCTTCAAGACTGTATGAATGCTCCCCAAAATCATTAAAAGGTTCAAGTAATTGCAGTTTGGCTGAATACTGGTGATGCAGGGATACCTGAAGAATCTGTGTCTAACTAGCCAACTTAAAGACTGATGATTGTGTCAAAACACACTTCTTCATAATAGGTTTGTTTGAACAATAAATAAAATTAACCAAGGTAGTATCCTCGAAGAGTTGTTATGATGAATTCCCATATGTAAGTGTCTCCAGGCAAAGTGTTGAAATTCGTCCTAAATGAAAGACCAAAAGTGTATGATGGACTTTTCATACTAGGAGATCTGACAGTCCATCAGCATGCCCTTCTTGTAAAAAGTAAGGTGCTATAAAATTGTGGTAGAAACAGTGAAATATGTTTTTGTGCTGAAATGGCTTCTATCAATCAAATGGCTGAAAATGGGCGAGTGGAGACAGGCTAGGCCATGCTTTTTGTTACTACTAAGATTTATTTTATTTCTTTTTCTCTCCAGTGTTCTGGCAGCTATCATGAATCTTGAGAGAATCTGGCCTAGATTACAATGAGGACAAAATGAACGGATGCCGAAGGTGCAGCTAAGTGCAACTTGTATTGATGGGAAAGCTGCAGATTTGGATGCAGTTCAATTGCAGTTGTAATTGAATGTTTCCAACCATTTATTTTATTTGACATCCCTGCCAATCAATTAAGATTTGGACGGTGTGCAATGAATCAGACAATATAACAAAATTCAGAAATGCAGTGGATTTATTGATTGAAAAACTCGATTTCATTGAAGAGCACATCAAGGTTGTCCCTGACCTCAGGGGTGCAGATTGGGCACGGCAGGGGACATGGCCAGCATGACATCACTCATCTCGGGGACGCCTGTGGTGTCCTGAGCACTCTGCCAGCGAAAACAGGTTTCTGGGCCGTTTTCAGCTGCTACGGCCTCCTGAAACCCTCTGCCAGCAAAAAATGGGGTTTTGGGACTCCCGCTGCATGCAGTTTAACAACTGTGTTACCAAGATCTGCAGTGATTCACTAAACAATTTTGGCAAGGAAGATCATAAAGGCAAAGGTTCCCCTCCCACATATGTGCTAGTCATTCCTAACTCTAGGGGGCAGTGCTCATCTGTTTCAAAGCCCAAGAGCCAGCGCTGTCTGAAGACATCTCCGTGGTCATGTGGCTGGCATGACTAAATGCTGAAGGTGCACAGAAAGCTGTTACCTTCCCACCAAAGGTGGTTCCTATTTTTTCTACTTCCTTTCGAACTGCTAGGTTGGTAGAAGCTGGGACAATAATGGGAGCTCACTTCATTACATGGCACTAGGGATTCGAACTGCCGACATTTGTGAACGACAAGCTCAGTGTCTTAGTCACTGCTCCATTTATGATCTTCTAAGGAAGATCATACAATAGGGCAAAGCTCACTTAACAACTATCTTTGCTTGGCAATGGAGATTTTGGGCTCAACTATGGCCATAAGTCGAGGACTACCAGTATATGACCTCCTTGTCTCCATGTACAATACAGGAAACTGTAATCCCTTTGTTCAGTGACTGCTCAAAATTATGGCTGCGCTGAAGAAGTGGATATCCAAATTGTCCTCACAGTTCCAGCCGTTATTAGTGTGACGTTAGTCATATAAAATTGATATGGTTGCTTTGGGTGCCCAGATCATGATTATACTATCTCAGAGGACTATATCACGTTATTTTCATTTTCATCCCACAAACAAAGCCAATGGGGAAACCAACAGAGAACGTTGCAAGTCCAATAAATTGTTCTTGCCACATTTTCTCCCTAAGAATCTGCTCCAGTGTGTGAGATCCCAGGGATAATTTTTGGCCTTTGATCTAGCTTTGTTAATCTAGCTTTGAATCTGGAAGTATATTACAATCACTGAAATTAAAGAGCTTTGTATGTGAAGCCTTTCATATGTATTTTCAAATATCTGCTTTCTCGCAAGTACAGAACAATCACAGTAGCTAGCATATAGGTTTTGAATTTGGGTTTACCTTCTAAATAAATATATAAGAAAATCAAAATATACTAAAGCTGCGATCCTAGAAAAAAGTTATTACTCAAACCAGAATTCTCAAAAGCATGAAAATATGCAATTTTGCAAAGCATTAGCCTGAAGAAATAAGCTTTAAGTGTCCCCAATCACACATAGTAATCTAGCTCAGAATTGTGGAATGTTTTTTTTTAAAATAACTTTTCAAATGATTTGCTTTTTACTGGATACTATCTAGATCCACGCTCTGCGAGATGGGCAGCTCTATAAATTTGATAGACAAATCCTATCTTTAAATCCTATCTTTACTCTAGCTGAGTGTAAAAATACATTGGTAAGCCAGTATTTCATGAAATCAAGAGATTTCCATCCCTTGACCCACAACACAATCACAACAAACGTAAACATGAAAAGCTGCTTCTTCTTATTCTGGCAGAATACTTTATGAGCAGGAATTTGATAGAAAAATGCCCCACCCCCACCCCCAGTGTTATTTAGGTAGACTTAATGTTAGATAAGTAAATGTTGTTTACTTGGATAGAAACAAACTGATCTGAGATTCATCCACATTGCCACTTTAAGTAAATTATGTTCCTTCTATTCACTAATCCAAAGCAAACTTAATCCAGCGCTAACCCACAAAGAAGCATTTATTCATGGTTCTTGACATAGCAAATTATAGTACAATGCTGAATACCACCTCTCACTGCACTTCCACATGAAGTCTGTGCCACTCACACATTTGTCTCAGTTCTGTTGAAATGTTAAAACTGTTCTCTCTTTCCAAAAGCTGAATTGATTTTTCCTTTTAGTTTACCTGTGGTGCAAGAGGAATTGCCCTAGAAATGGGTTTCAGCTGGAAACCCCAGACCTGGGCAAAGTTGGGGGAGATCTATTTCCTTTCAGAAGAAACGCTTGTATTACCTCTCCTGACTCCAGAGTTTCTTTTGTCTGCAGAAGAATGCTTGCTTGACAGCTTCACATCTCCTCCATAGTTGAGTATCCTTTTTCTTTGAAAAGCTGGCACTAGCCAGAGCATAGAATGAGTGCCAGATTGGAAGATGGGGAGAGACCTGGTCCATAGAATCGCCATGAGTTGGGCACAACTGAATAGATATATCATTGTCTCTGACAATAGCTGAGCTGCAATCAAACCCTTCAACTATGAATTGCCAGAAATAAAAGTGTTCAGAGATCACTTTGGAAAGATAAGGAAATAGAAATTGTGGTTAACATCACAATGCCTTTTGGCAGTCCCATTGATGAAAAAATTTAGTGGAGCTGAAAATTTCATCTCTTCAATGCTAAGTAAATACTATGTCTTCTAAGATAGTAATTTTTTTATTTTTATTTTTTATTAGTCAATGGATTTTTTCAATGGATACAAATGCATTAGTCACTTTAAAATGTGTACATGTTATTTGATGCTTGTTACTCTTCCAATTAACATTTTTGAGAGTTGTGCAATCTTTTTAAATAAAACACAGCTGCTGCTTTTTAAAAATACAGAAACGTATGTGTGTATGCACATGTGTGAGAGAAATGGATGCCAATAAAGTAGAACTAATTAATTCTATTGTGATGTGTTTCTTGGCAACCAATTTAGTAATGAAATCATATCCTGCAATTATATTACATCATATATTAGTAGAATTAGGAACACATGCTGAAGTGGCAGGTTTTCTCACTTTATGAGTGAATAAAACTACATTAACTCCAATCCTTTGAAATGGTGTTTTGTTTTTATAGCTTGGCATTATGTTTCAGTTCAAAATGGGTTCCATTTTGCTATACAGATGTAAATAAGGAAATAAAAATCCCAAAACAATGCCAGGATAGCATATTTTATAAAGCTTTATATGAAACAAAATGCTGGGAGTTTTAAGGAAGCAGTCTTTAGTGAAAGCAGTCTTTCTGAAATTTTTCTCCTTATCCAAAAGCATCACTGACTTTTTTTCCAATCTGGGTGGTTTTGCAAGAGGCAAGGAAAGAAAAGGTGTGCAAGAAACAAAAAACCTTGACTAACACAAAAGAAACCTGCAGCTTAGGAGAAAGACTGTTTCTGCAAAAATATCTAGTCTCTACTAGACAGGTTTCCACTGTTCCATGTGCTGCTCTGTCCACAACAGCTAGTCTAGGCAATCTATAAACACATTTTCAGCTTACTTGTTTATGATCATTTTAGGATTAAGAGTTATTGTTCTCAAAGTGGTCAGTGGGCAAAATTACATTCTGAATCGGTATTTGATTTTGCAGAGCACTTCATTTTTAAAAAAATGTTTTTCCTACAGTTATGTAGACTACCTGAAAATTAGAAACTTATTGTATATCTCAAATTGGGCCTATCACAGATTTCAGCATGTGGAATTATATTCTTTATTCCTGTCCATGAAGTCAATAGGCATCCTGAAGCTTTAAAAAACCAGTTGCTGAGACTTGACACTGCTCAACTGTGTTTTGTTAAATTGTGTTAAATTGTCTTTCCAACTAGCAAGCTGCCTTGAGACTTTGGGGTGTGTGGGGGGGAGGAGGGAACGGGACACAGGGCTTTTAAATGTGATCAGAGTGCCATATTGCAAACAAAATCAGAAAAAAATGTCAGGTGCTAAATTTCTAATTATCTAATGTGAAAGTACAAGCCTTCCTTCCCTTCTCCCCCCTCCCATATTTTTCAAACATTTAAACATTTTCTAAATTTTGAACAATGCAATGACTGAGGCATACATTAACTGGGTAAGGAAGATCTACATGTAAATAAACTATGGAAAAGGATGTTAAAGAAATTAATTGGTGCAATTTCCCTTAAAACCACCAGATGGCAACATTCTTTACCTTCAATGAAGCCAAGTAAGTATACTAAATACCATATAGATTTGATTACTGCTAAAGCAATAATCTTTCTAGGAGATTATAATCTAATAACCAAGATTAGATTATTTCCAATCTAATCTTGGAAGAACTTAGAATATGAGAGACTTTGTTACAACTTAACAGAAAGTTGGAATGACTATAACGGAACAGCAGGATGCTATTCTGTTAGTGCTATCTAAATACCAACATGACTGACCCAAGAGAAAATCCTTCACCCAAAGCTAGTTTTATGCTATCATTATAGTTAGTAATCATCACTGTCATGTTAAATAGGGTAAATACTGTTGTCTAGATAGATATTGACCTGTTGAATGATAGCTTATTTGAGAGGATCATACATATTCCTGACAAAGATTCAACAAATGAAAGACCATGGCCAACGATGCAAATGAAGATGGTGCCATTTCACTATTGGCTGCTTTTCTGGAATATGCAAAAAAATAATAATAGTATGCTAATTTCAATCTAACTCCTCCCAAGAAACAAAATCAAACCAGAAATTATTCAGTAGATATTCTATTATAAAGTATTTTGCTACTTAATATTCTAAATTAATGTTTGAGGGGAAAATACACTATCATCTTCATTTGCACACAAACTATTAAAAAGAACACTATTTTATACATTTTAGATCTTATTTATTATAACTTTGATATGAAATCCAAGTTTAGACAGAAATATTCATTTCAAAAATTTAGAAGTTTATGGATGTTTGCTTATTGGATTGCATATATATAAAAACTAATTCACTTATTTACAATATTTGATGAATCACACATTTGCTGCAGTGAGGACCTCCTGCCAATTTGTATAAAAATAACATAATTATTTGTATTTCTATTACTTTTATAATTCTGCATTTCCAATATTTATGCAACTTCATTATATATAGTTCCACTGGTTCCACTGACAGTCTGTAAGGATGCAGTGTGCCTTATTACCTTTTTCATATTTATTATTCTGCAGTTCGTTGCATATTATCAATAAGTATCCCAGCAATGGAAGACTTTTTTCAATCATTCCGCTATCTATTGTCTTCAACAATTATCATTCTTCTCGGGTAGCTATCAATATCCACAAATATATAACGATATTCATATTTTCCACTTTCAGGATTCTGTTAAAAAAGAAGAAGGGTAATTTCTGTTAAAATAGAAGAAAGAGAAGATGTGAGAAATTTAATAGCAATAGCAATAGCAGTTAGACTTATATACCGCTTCATAGGGCTTTCAGCCCTCTCTAAGCGGTTTACAGAGTCAGCATATCGCCCCCAACAACAATCCGGGTCCTCATTTTACCCACCTCGGAAGGATGGAAGGCTGAGTCAACCTTGAGCCGGTGAGATTTGAACAGCCGAACTGCAGAACTGCAGTATTAAATCAGAGATGTGGAAATAAATTTGACCTAAAGGCTGAATCCTTACATGTCATAAAGGTCAGATTATCTGAGTTTGGGATTTCAGGGGCTGAAAGGCTAAAATCCTGGTCGCTCATAGTGCTTTTATAAAAAAAGAAATAGTTCTCACATTCCCTGTCTTCACCTTTAAGGTAAATCTACTCTAACACATGATGCTGTCATGTCCCAGCTTATATGGTATGCAACTCTGAGGAAGAGCTTGAAGTTGCCACTTACACTTCTACAAGCTGGAGGCTTTCCATTCAGGATTAAATTACGGTCTATATTTTATTGGAGTTTTTGTACCTCTTTGACTTCAAGATGAACAGTTCCTTGTTTTCCTTTTTCAGATCCCTCAATGTAGAATTTTAGACGCATGTATTTCAATCCATCTTTTACAAACTCAATATGGCTGATGAAAAGCATAAAAGAAATATTTTTCCAACTTAAGAAATCAATTCTTCAAACCGGATAAAAATTTGAATATGACATTTTTTTTTGGTCTTAACTTAAAGAAACTGACAAATAGATCTGCCAGGCAATCTTCCGTGTCTTCACATTGGAAATGTCACTCATTGCCCTTCAGCTATACTATAACACATGTTTGATTCCACTGTTGGAATGTCGTAAACCTGGAGCTGTCTTTCAATGTGAACAAGTTTATGATTTAAGATATCTAGAAAATTGCTTACCTAGTCATTATATAAATCCTATATACATAACTTACATTCTAAAGTACTTAAGGCAAAAATTGCATTATTGAAAACAATAGGCTTAAAGAGAAAAAATGAGTCTTTACATTGGGTCTTTATTGATTAGCCCTTGGGCCATACCAAAGTGCAAAGTTCCAGAAACAAATTATTACTATAATTTGATAAAATAAATTTAAAATGACATTTGATAAAATACAGTTAAAAATGGAATTGGAATAAAATACGATTTAAAGAGAAAGAAAAACAAAACCAGATTTCTACACTGAAAAAAAGGAAACAAAATCTGATTTTTCAGTTCCAAAATCGTTTCCTGCAAGATTCTAATAGTAGTAGTAATAATATATAGAAATGAAGTTATTTCATTGTAGTATGCCCTTTCTCTTCTAGTCAATGTTAAAATTCACTTAATAACTGCATTATTAATTTAAAAACTGCAGTGATTCACTTAACAACCCTGTTACTAATTTAAAAACTAGTGATTCATTTAACAACCATGTTAATTTATAAATTAGTGATTCACTTAACTGCATTATTAATTTAACAACTCAAGTGATTCACTTAACAAATGTGGCAAATAAAAGGCGTAAAACGGGGCAAAACTCACTTAACAAATTTCTCACTTAGCAACATAAATTTTGGGCTCAATTGTAGTCTTAAGTTGAAGACTATATACCATAACAATATAAGACATATATCAGCATCAGTTGACATGGACAATAATTAATACAAATCAAATGCTTGTATACTTGCTAAGAAATTATCTTAAGAAATTATTTGTTATTAATTACTATTGCATTCGTTAGGAGTAAATTTAGATTAGGCTAAATTACTACTTTTCAAGTGAAATACAAGAAAAATCAAGTGAACTGAATAATGTAAAAACAAGATCAAAGTCAGTAACAAGAAAATAACATTTAAGAGAAATATTAAGGGTTCCATTAATAGATACCTGACCAACTGTCTTCTCCCACGGCGTGTAGCTTCACCATAGCCTTTTATGGGTTCACCAAAAATTCCTATTACCTAGTTACAAGAAAACAACATGTTTAGTGATCCACTTTCTATCCAGGACTAATGAGTAGTTTCATCAGAATAACTACTAATGCTATATAATCTCCCCTCAGACATAATTTTTATCTTTTTGCTATACTGATTTCAAAATTTTAGTAAAATGAGGACATGCTTCTTTGGGGAAAGAGCTTTATGTGCTTTTCAGCTGGCCTAACATTACCTGCCATTGCAATTACATAATTTCTGTGGTCTTCCCTCTGTAATTTTTTAAATATAAAATTTGGGTTTCCTTGCATTTGATGTTGAATGATTTAATTAGCCATGTTGGAATTTATGAAGAATATTGAAAATGTCAATTCATGAAAAAAAGAACAGTGGAACAGTTGGCACAGATAATTATTTCTACAACCTGTGGCTCATTTTAGATAGATTATGTATATCGGATGTATTGTGAAAATGCTATGATGTAATGTTTCTGGTATGGCAGAGGAAGAATGGCCAATCCTACTTTCAGATGTTGAGAATGAGTTCTCTTTAAGAAAACTATCTTTCACGTGATAATGAGCAAACCAAGTTTCATTGATTCTGAGGATCAGTTAAAAGTTTTTTTTAAAAAAAATTAAGAGCAGTTTTTTCTATAATCAACATCTTTTTCATTGAAATTTGGAACTAACCTCAGGGTGAGCTCTGCATTTCTCCAAGGCGTCTCCATAGATTTTACTGGGACTGGAAGAAGAGAATAATTCCTTAAAAATCACATAGAATAACCCACCTGAAGGAGAATAAAACCAGATGCCAATGAATCAAAAAGTCTTCTAAAAAGCCATTAGCACTTGTAAACTAGAATTTTTTCCCCTGTTTCAATCACCTGTCACACCGATCCCGATGATCACCACTATCAAGTAAGTGAAGTCTCTTCCTGCTTCTTTCACTGAAAGAGAAAAAAAGAGAAGAAATCAACAAACAAGATAGCTGTAAAGTACCAGATAAAAAAGTGCAGTGTCTAAAATTAATGCCTCTTAAAGCTTCCTCTGAGAATCATATGTTAATAGCTTTTATCTTGCGAACAGTAAGAAAAACATTAAAACTGTTAATTCTATCACATGTATTAACATTCTACAGCTGTTTCATTCTCTGTGTCTTTAAGAATTTAATGTAGTCTTGCTATTGAACTAAGGGACAGGAAGAGCTTTCTCTTCACAAGAATGTTAAGAATATATCCGTTTCGATGGATTTTTGATCAGGAACTTTCTATGGTTGTTTAATTTTGATTTGTGGATACAGTTCTTGGTTAATTTGTTATATAGAAAGGATTTTGTTGTTCCACTAATGGGGGCAACAAAATCTTTTGGATTAGTCAAATCTTTGACTGAATCTCTGCCAATGTCTATTTTCTCCCTTTACTTTCATGACAGAGACAAGATGGAGAAGAAAACACTTATTCCAGTTAACAGTTCTAAAAACAGCAGAGGTAAATCATCATTAGCATGATTCTTTACGTTTATTCTTTAAAAATTCGACACAGCTTGGCCCATGTTTTTGACTAATTGAAAAATATTCAACTGTTGTGTTTTTCACTTCATAAATACACTAAGCTAAATCTGACCATCAAAATGTTTCTTGAGCTTGTGTATTTAGAGAGATATGCTATTACAAGTCATAGACCAGCTAAAAACAAAAAGAAAGCAAAGTATGTGACAGCAATAAAACCAGAATAAAATCCAATAAATATAAAACTGGAATAGTCAAGGTGAGATGTATTTTACAAATAGTAAAACATATATAAAGGAGAGTGTTTGTAGCTCAGGGTTGAAATGAAGGGTCCTTGGTTCTTTCTGAGCTGGCTTGTTTTCTTGCAAATGTTTCATTACTCAAACTAGGTAACATCATTTCTGATGTTACTAACTAGCTCTGATGATGTTACCCAATAAGTAATGAAATGTTTTCAAGAAAACAAGCAAGCTCAGAGAGCACCAAGGACCCCTCAGTAAAGTATATATATTATAAATAGTACAACAGTTAGCTTTATGCCAAGGAATACTGCTTAATTAGGAAGAAATAGTTTTTACTTCTGTTGAGAATTAATCTGTATCTCAATTCCAAGTCATTGGATCTGCATGGCCCTGGATTCCAATTGTTGCTATTTTGAATAAAAGGTTGGCAATAGGCTTGCTGTGCACAAGACAGCTGATTTGGCATTCATTACTGAGGCCTGGGTGTTAAATCTGACAATAGCCATGCTCCCAGAGGAGGAGAAGGTGGGTGGCAATTATTATCTGGGCAGCTTTGATTTCCACAGGTTCTCTTTTGCACATATTGGATGTGAGACTCTCTGGTCAATACTGGATTTGACACTGTTGTACCAAGCTTGCCTGCTGTGTAATGAGATTCTTGTCTGAACCGCCAGACTCTGATGGTAGCTTAGAAGCAGAGTTGCCGAGGTTAACAGTTCTTGGTGACTTCAAACTGTCCCAGATGTCATAAAGACTGCAGCAGTTCAGGAATTCATGGCTACTATGGCCACACAGACTTGACCCGTCATGAAGTCCCCATGGAAGATGTTAGATCTGTTTTTTGTCTTCAGGCAATTGTAACATGATGTGGTAGCCGAGGACATTATCACCAGTTTTCATGGTCTCTTTTTTTAGTTTGCTGATGTTGCCCTCCCCACTAGGAAGACAAGACCTATTAGCATTCTGCCCCAAAGACCAATTTGATCGTGAACTTAGCCTTGAGTTGGGATGGGACAACAGCCTTGGGTGGCATTGCTTCCATGAAATCTCTCATTATGTGCTGAACCTGGAATGATGCTTGCTTTTTAGAGGAGCTCTGTGAGATGAAATACTGGAAGAGATGCCTCAAGTGCCATTGGAGAATGACAAAGAATGAGGCCAATTGAACACAGGCTCGTCCCTAGCCTAAAAATGAGTTAACTTGAAATTGTCCTTTGTACTAGGATAAAACTACTATGCCTCTCCTAATTCTGTCACCATCCAAAAGCAACATCCAAGTCTGTTAAGCTGCTTTCCCATTGCTCCGATAATAAATCAGGTGTCCAAGGTGACTTGAAATAGACAGATAGTGCAGACAGTAAATTTTGTCTTCTGCCAAACATTCAACTTAGGAATGGAAACAGGTCTTATGCCTGCCAAGGTATTTTACTTTTAGCCCTCAAAGTATTGCTTACCTACCTTCCAGCCAGCATAATGGCTGAACTACAAATGCCAGCAAAATGAAGAACACTAATATTTCTATTTCTGCAAAATCTGACTGGCTGGGAGATCCCTGTCCCTTTTCCACAGTTTGCTGCAACCACATGATGCCCTTCAGAATGGCTCAAGGTTCATTTCTGCAATTATTATATTTGGCCCTGCAGGCTGAGATTGTAAGACTATATTAGGCCAAGGAGATATTTTTCAAGGAAGCAGGCAAATGTTTGCCCTTCAACTGTTGAAATCTCCAAAGTCAAAGACCATTTGTCCATAGCAAGAGACTCCCATTCCCATTTCCTAAAACGTTTGGTGGGCCGCATTTTTCCTTCATGCAGAGCAACAAAGAGAGATTCGGAAGCACGGAAAGCTGCAGCGTTTTACAGAAAGTTTTACAGTCCTGAGTGTTTTAATCAGTGGAAGAAGCAATGTCTCTCTCACTCCTTACCTTTTTGAGCAGCTGAGGGTGAAACGTCCCCTTTTCTACGTTGCACAGGCAGCTGAGTGCTCCTATTCTCTGATTTTTCGGATCTCAGTCCAGCCGGGAGGACCCATAGGCTTCGCTTTATGACATCATAGCCTACCTCAGGACTCAAGACATGGTCGTGACTGAGTCCTTGCCCTACTCTGGACCATGCCCAAGTCTTTAGAAATGCTGTCCTATGTCGTGCAAGTGCCTGCTTCAACGCAGATCTCAGTAGCTGGTCACTACAGCAAATTCCTCGCACAAAAATGGAAAGCATTATGATTTACTAGCTGTCTCTGCCCCTCAAGACACAGCGCGCTGCCCCAGCAGTAGATAGCTAGTGTAGGAATTAAGAACTGTCTCCTTTAAGAAACTACCTTCTGGGAAATGTAGGCAAAGACTGCCTTATGGGAAATGTAGTTCCATGACATGTGATCACATCTATGTCTCTGATTGGCCACTGGGGCATTCTGCCTGTGTGCAAAGATTACAGCCGGTCAGTTTAAATGCCTGAACTGAACATTGAACTGTAAGTTTTACTATTAAGAATGCCTGATAATAAACTTGACCTGAATGAGATTCCTAAGCGTGGAGTTAACTGCATATCCCGAGCAAGCCTACAACGCTGGAGGCAGAACAGTAAAAAGATGTTATTTTGAGCTCCTCTGGAGTAAAAAGGACGTTGAAGTTGAATCCCAAATTCTGCATTTTAACTGAGAACAGGTGCCGGGATTTCCCCCACCCACTCTTGGAGCAAAGAGAAATATCCTGTTTCAGTGAGAAAGGCTGATTAACTCTCCTGAGATGAAGGACTTTGTTGTGATTAAGAAAATGTGCTAAAAGGGGGCCAAGAGTTGTATGAGAAAAACAGCCTCTACAATCTAACTGGCTCAATCTGCTCTGAAAAGCCTGTTTTTGTTTGTGGAAGAATCCTTATAGGCTGGACTCTTGTTTCTCCTCTGGTGTACTGAGAAAGCAGATCCTGCAGAGTTAGAAAAGCATGTTTTCTCTCTCTCCCTGTTTGAAAGCAAGATCGACTTTGTTTCCGTTTAATTGAGCACAAGAATTGCTGGAAGAAGTTGCAGCAACTCTGTAACAAACTTGAAGATGAGTTACCCCCCAAATATCTCTGTTCATTAGATGAGGACATGGATGAACGCTTCATGCAATGGACAGTTTATGAAGACCGCCTCAATGACATCCAGTTACAAATAAATGACGATGAAGAACTACAGAAGGAGATGCTGCGCCTTCAGACGTTAAACAAAGTCGTAAAAGGCAATTTCGAAGTAGCAAAGACTTTATCAAAACCAGTCTGAACCACTGCACCGGACAAGAAGGGCGAATCCGAAGTGTCCCATTATTCGCAGACACTATCTCAGCAGTCGCATGTGATTTCCTCTCATGTTTCTAAGAAAGTGTCCTCATCTAGTCCCAAAGACACACCAGGAGCAAATGCCGGATCCGAAGTGTTCCATCGTTTGCATGAACCATCTCAGTGGTCACATGTAGCCTCCTCTCATGCTCCAAAGAAGACATCCTCATCTAATTCCAAGGATACACAGGCCATATCTGAGGTGTCTCATCGTTTACATGTGCCATCTCAGCAGTCACATGCAACTTCCTCCCACATCTCCAAAGAGGCCTCATCCCTCTACCCAAAGCCAACCCGATCTCGAACGGGCACCAGTGTCTCACAGCATAGCCAAATGTCACAGGCATCTAGAGCTGAGTGTCTAGAGCTGCAGAAGAACGAGTGAAAGCTGCGGTAATCATGGCAACTCTTGATGTGACAAAAAGGTGCAAATGCCGGCTGGCGACACCTCGGAGCAGGGCCTTCTCTGTTGCTGCTCCGGCCCTGTGGAATGAGCTACCCCAGAGATCCGGACCCTACCCACTCTCATGGCCTTTCGTAAAGCTATTAAAACCTGGCTTTTCCTGCAGGCCTGG